CTCTCATTCCCCTCAAAAGATTCTTATGACATTTGTTTGGCCTTCTAAAGAGACTCTTTTTGTGGCTTTAGATACAAAACTCACTGACTTTTACTTTTGGTTCAAAGTAGAATAGTAACAGGTGTGTGCATGGTTAATGAGGAATTTAGATATCTGGATCTCAGTTCTCAAAGGATGGAGACACAGGGTGGGTAAAGTCCAGAATTCAGAGTTTTGAAATAAGGACTGATGCTAGAAGGAGGCTTTCCGATCAAGCCAAAGAAGTTAGTATACCGAAGAATGCTCTAAAATAGGTTTCATATTGGAGGGTGGGGACAGGAGCAGTAACACCACTAAATTAATGCAGCCAACTGGTTTCATTGGAGTTCCCAGACTATGAGGAGACTGTGTGAGTTAAGAAACTTCCTGCCAAGCAGACCACACAACATGCTGTAGCTGGAATAGTGTTTCCCCCGAAGACAGTTGCTTTGACTTTCTGATCAGTGACAGACAAATCTTCCTGAAGAAGGGATTTAGCAAACAACAGAAACAAGTAGGGAGAAAAAGAAAGGTAAAGGTTGACCATATATATAGGAAGCTCCAACCTCTATGCAGACCCAGGCTGTGATCTTGTGTGTGAAGTAGACTGCAAATCACTGTAAGACATGAACAAAATTCTGCAGTTGCCCTGCGCTTCATGGAAGTTTCTGCGGCAGCATCCAGGGCTGTGGGACTGTGCTTATGTGGGCATGAAGGCCCCACCTACCATCCTTTAGGAACACACTTCTAACAATGCATCCTGCCACAGGAGAGAGGAGGAAGCACTTGCTTCTATGTAGGTGGACCTACCTTGGACTTTGCATCAGGACACGTTTTCACTAATGATACTAGGCATCCAGAGACAAGTTAATTGATCAAGAAATGAAGCCAGAATGCTACATCTGAACACTAAATTCTGACCACTAAATCTACCCTAATGCCTGGGCTGGCAAGCTTGTATCAGTCTGGGAAAGAGACAGAAGTAGACCAGACCTCAGTGTTACACAGACATCCTGAGGTTGGAAAAGGCCACTTGTCCAATGACCTGGGTGAATGGCAGCCCTGTACTGCTGTGGCCTATAGTATACTTACTAAAGAATGGGATTCCCCAACCAGTTTCTTACCTTCTGTCAGAATTTGATCAGAAGTAATATGTAAGATTATCAGTTTTGAGATGGGTAGCCATACATTTGAACCTTGGTGTTTTACTTACTAGAGCTAAGATTCAGGCATGTCATTTGGTCACTAAGGCATTGTAGTGTGCAATAAATTATATATATATATATATATATATATATATATATATATATATATATCTGTGCCTGTATATATTTGAATATATGTGTGCATATTATTAAAAATATATGGGTAAGACCACATGTCCAATGATTGGGACATTGCTTCAAGGGAACCAGGCCTTCTNTTACTAGAGCTAAGATTCAGGCATGTCATTTGGTTAATTATAATTAGACATATTGATTAAAGTAAAAATATATATATATATATATATATATATATATATATATATATATCTGTGCCTGGGTATATTTGAATATATGTGTGCATATTATTAAAAATATATGGGTAAGACCACATGTCCAATGATTGGGACATTGCTTCAAGGGAACCAGGCCTTCTTGATAATTAATAGCTGTCATTGTTGACCCGTTACTATATTTTAGGCATTCACCCAAGTGCATTGTATACATTAGCTTTTTATTTCCACAAACTCATGAGATTAGTATTAATTTTAACTTTTTTTATGGATAAGAAAACTGAAGACTAGAGAAATTAAATAACACACTGAAAGTCTCAAAGGCAATTACACAGCTACTAAGGACAGGCTGGGTTTAAACTCTGGCTTCCTGATTTGGAATCACATGCTCTTAACCACTGTATGTGTATATACATACACACATACATATGGAAGTGTGGTATGTGTGTGTGTGTGTGTGTGTGTGTGTGTGTGTGTGTGTCCGTCCATACAATGACCCCTGGAAAGACCTCTCTGGTTGTGTTCAGCACAGTTTGAAAGGACCACTGTGTATCCTCATTTTCTTTATATTTTACTGGGCTAATTTTTGTTCTGCATCTAAGTGTATTTTACTATTAATTTTAATGAGTTACAGAGGATCAAAAGGGAAATAATCTGATTGAGTACACTAAGACTTTAAAGTGCTTCCACTTTTATAATTAGGTATCAATAGAAAATTAAAATTTCCCAGAAACCATCTCCCTAATGAACATGTAGAGTCTTTAGTGCTTGAAATCCCCATATTATTATCAACTGAACACTCTGAAAGCCAAATGTATTAATAAATTAGCTTTTTTTTTTGGTATCAGCTTGGATTTTTTGTGCTGATTATTTTATAAAAATATTCAGTGGGAAAGAATAGTGCGGGACATAAGGATTTTTTTTTTTAACTTTATTGGGGAACAGTGTGTTTTTTCCAGGATCCATCAGCTCCAAGTCAAGTTGTTGTTCTTCAAACTTAGTTGTGAAGGGTGCAGCTCAGCTCCAAGTCCAACTGCCACTTTCAATCTAGTTGTAGACGGCGCAGCTCACTGCCCCATGTGGGAATCGAACCGGCAACCCTGTTGCTCAGAGCATGCACTCTAACCAACTGAGCCACCTGGATGTCCAGAACATAAGGCTTTAACTGGAACAAAATGAGCTCCTCATTTACCAATTTTCTCTTTTGCCTGTTGTATATTGTATGTTTTTTTACATTTCAGTGAAATGATTCTTGTCTTTTTATAGATGAGAAAATTGAGGTACGTGGAAGTTAACTAATTTGCCCAGCACTATGTAACTCTTGGATGGTAGAGCTAGAATTTGAATCCTGGCAGCCTGGTCTCATAATCCTTGCCCTTAGCTGCTAACCCTATAATGCCTTGTTTTGGCTTATGGTTGTAAATGTAAACTTAATAATAAGGCAAACTTCATTTATTTCAGCTCTACAAAAGCCCAAACATGCTCTGTGTTATCTTAAATTTTAAAATAAGTTTTAAGAAGGAAGTCATTTTTTTTTTAAGATTGCTGCCAGTTACTGAAGCAAAAGAAAAGTCCATAAAAATAATGCACTAGTAATTGAGGTCTGTCAAAAACCATGAAGTAATTCCTGGTTTTAAAAAGCGGAGCCAGGCCACTTCTGTTTCATCCTGGTCTTTCTCTTGCGCTGGGCTGAAGAAGAGCATTTCAGATGACCTCACATCACAGACTTACTCTCCTCCTTAGCCAAGCCCCAGCTTATTAACTAGGTTACTGTTTAAAAAGAACAGCTGGGTGACCAGGTACAACTCTGTATCCCTGCTCATGTCTAGAAAGAATGGAGTTGTGTTAATGCAAGTAAGAGATTTTTCTTAAGGAAAAACTACTCTGCTGAGAAAGGAATGTGATTATGGAGTAAAAAGAAAATGGCCCTTAGGACTTTCCGAAGCTTGGACATCACATATAGAGACAGAGCTGATTTACTGTTTTAGTTCTCCTAGTTGACCTGCAAAAACTTCCAATTCAAACTTGCTGATATGGTTATGGATTGTATAAGAATTCAACTGAGATGGGCATCGTAGCCAAAGACCTGCTATGGTCTTGGGTGCAAGTAATAGCTCTAGAAGATCTTTCAGATATCTCTTTCTTGAGTTCTTGAGAAGAGAGCCAATATTAAACAAAGACAATTCCTGACTTTATTATCAAGTCTGGGAGTAGAACTGTGAGTAAATGCTCTGGGGGGGGAGAAGGGCTGTTTGTGGTGGGACAACAGTCCATGGTAATGGCAGCACTTGGTTCCTGAGCCCTGCAAAGGCATAGTCCACGTGATTCAGTGGATGCTAGTGAGCAGACACCAGTTTATACCTATAGTTTTGTGCTGGCACCTCCTGGCATGCCTCCTTGAAAGACCTTTCATGGATTAGAGAATCACTATGTCCTAAGGAAAACCTGAACATTGAGGGTGGAGAGAGTTTTAATCAGAGATACCCTTGGGAACAAAAGAAGGTATTATTGGAGAATACCATCAAAGAAAGGGACTCAAGATAATAAATGAGGAAATTTTTAAAGCATTCTTAAGCGTGTACATTCAGACCCTGTATTTGTGACTTTTGGCATCGTACAGTTGTCTTTTTTTTTTTAACAGTACTCAATAGTTTTCCTGATTTAATTTTTCAGGAAAAGAAAAAGGAAAAGGTCTGTGTGTTGTGCCTGGAGACCACAGGAGCTGGATGACTTGTCTTCCTTTCTAGTCAGTTTTGTGAGACAGACTCCCCCAGGAAAAGCTATTTGGCAGCAGCTCGATGCAGGAGAGAGCAAAAGGTTGAGCAGCGGGGTCCTGGGGGAGACGAAGGAGAACAGGCAACCTGAGCCTGATGGTGGGGGTGAGGGTGGGGTCCTTAATAATCAGGAAGCCAGAGAGGTTCAAATTAGAAATAACTCCTCAATCCGTTTTCATATAAAATACATGAAGTCATGTGTATAAAGCAGATAGCAATGCTTAGCACATTTTTAGCACTTTATAAAAAGTGGTTAAGGGCTGGCCGAGTGGCTCAGTTGGTTAAGAGCTCGCTCAAGAGTTTGAGCTCTGAGCAACAGCGGTTCGAGTCCAGCCCAAGCTGAGCAGCTGCTGAGCTGCCAACAGGTGGCAGGATGGCTCAGCTAAAAAAAAAAAAAAGGGGGGAGGTTAAATCTGACCAGGGAGTTCAATACCTTCAGAAAATACTGAGTTCCCCAACATCTAGTGCAGTTGGCCTGGAACACTTCCCTCACATACCCCCACACCCTGCTCCTCACAGCTGGTTAATACCTCTTCTTTGGGGCTCTCCAAATATGTGTTAGGGCTCCTCCTGTCGATACCCGTGGTGCTGCATTCCCATTCTCATCTTAGCTTGTTTTTCTAGAAGTACCTCCTTAGAAGATGGCTGATAAGCTCTAAATCTAAACCCAAAGGAATTTATACCCGCCATGGAAAGGACCAATGCTCAGAAGAGGTTTCAATAGTGGACTAGGTGCAGGGAGGCTGGGTTTAGTTAAAGAGAGGAGTGGTTTGTGTAAAAGGCCTCCCACCCCTCTGTCCCACCAAACCAGCCATAAAGTTGACCACAGGTCCCCTTTCCCGGGGACTCCAAGCACAGCTTTTCCTTTTATGCCATCTGATCTGCTCATCTCAAATACCCAGAGGTCCCTTTTCACTCTGTCCCCACCCCACTCATCTTGTTACTAGCCAGACAAATAATTCCAAGCAGTGTGTGTGTGTGTGTGTGTGTGTGTGTGTGTGTGTCTGTGTGTGTGTGTTATATTTAATGTTGTGCAATGCTGAGGATTTTTAACTTTTTGGATTAAATGCCCTTAAAACTATAAATGAATATTAACACACATAATATACTTCAAATACTATGAATGTAAATTATATAAGAAACAGCTGTTTATCTTTTGTGTGCCATTTTATTTTACAGTTGACAAGTTTTGTTAATCCTTTGGATAATATTCATGAGGTTCTTGGCACACTTCAACATAAAAACACTCTATACACTTTTAAGATGTGGTAGCTGTAAATTTCTAGATTTCATAGTCTCCTAGCAATGAAATATGTGTCATCTAGGTGATAATCCTAGAAAAGCCATCTCACTAGGAGGGTGGGATGCTACTGCCTTTTGGCAAAATGAAGCACCTGTCATAACAGTGGCCATCACAGATTCAAAAGATCAGGGTCTATGTATGTTTTCTAAGGGTAATGCTGGAGGGCCTGATGAGAGGAATTACTCTGGACAGTTAAGTTCTTTGATTTTCTCAGGGAAGAAGTCAGTAAGTCCAAAGTTAGCCTGTTTCCCTGCAGGAATTTTGCAATGCTGAGTTTTCTGCCAAGGAGAACACTCAGGTATAGGGCTTTCCTGGACTGTTCAGTGATGGGTGGGCATTGTGGGCCTCTCTCTCTTCTCTTTTCTTCCTTCCTTCCTTCTTTGTTCCTTCCTTCCTTCCTTCCTTCCTTCCTTCCTTCCTTCCTTCCT